TCCTCTCACAGCCCCCCCCCATGGGGGGCCCTATCCCAGGAGCCCCCGTGTGGGTTTGGGGGGAGCCCGCACCCAATGGGCGGCTGGGTCTGGGCTGGAGATGAGTCTGGGCTGATCCCCCCCGCCCCCCCCGCTCCTCCTTCCTTTCCCCTCCCCCCTGTCAATCCAAACCCACCGAACTTGGCATGTCACAGGTATTGCTGCAGTGGGTCCTGAGCTTCAGACCCACACGTGGCCCCTGCGCTCTCCCCTGCCCCCCCATTTCACATCCGGGTCAGATCTTGGGCTGGTCAGTTACTGAAATGTCTCTGCAGCCTATAGTGGTAGGGCCAGGCTGACCTTATCCCTCATGGGGGGGTTCTGTGAAACAGCCCAGGTCACGGTCCAACGTGGGATCAAAGGCCCCCGGGGCTCAGATGCGCTTAACTACATCGTTCTTTTTTCTTTCCTGCACCAGGCTGGCTGCCCACCCTGCAGATCGTCCGCCATGCCAAGGCAGTCACTCGGCACTGGAAGGCGATGCACTTTGAGCGGCAGAAACTGATGGCGGTGACGGAGTACATCGCTCCCAAACCGGCCGTCCCAGAGAAGTGCATCACTCCCTACATCAAAGCAGTCAAGGAGGTAAGGCTCCCAGCCCAGGTTGAGACGCTTGTTAGTTGGGCTCACCCTCGCGTGCTAAGAATAGCTGCGTTGATGATGCTTTGATATTGCGTTTCGAGCCCGCAGTGCCCCCAGGCTTGAGACCCCAAACTCCAGCCTACATAGCTATTGTTAGCGTCCTAGCTTGAGCCCTGCTAACCCAAGTCTCTGTACCTGGGCTGGGAGGCTTGTTCCCAGATGCGGGGTAGATACGCCCTTACGGGCTCTGATTATTCGCTGGGGATTCGTGGCTCTAGGAAACCTTCTTGGGTTATAGTTGGTATTCCCTTTCTTATCCTTGCTGCTGTTGGGTCTGGTCTTCCCTTTTGTTGCTTTGTTGTTTTTTTTCCTATCAGCCTCTTGAGTAATAGAGGCTTTGAGTGAGCTCTGTCTCCTGTATTTCTCAGCATTTCTACGTCCCTTCGGCTTTAAGGTCTGATCAGCCCTTCTGTTCACTGCGTGCCTGATTCATCAGTGATGCTGGGCATCCCAATCACGCCTGCTGAAGCATGTATGAGCTGGAGATATTTGGCATCTCTCAGATGAGGCGTTATGCCCATGCCGTCTCTCCGGAGCTGGCCTCTTCAACCTTCGTATTCTGCTCTTTCCCGTCTTGGCTCTTCATTTGTGAAGGACCCAATCCAGCTCTTCGCTAAGTCAACGGCCTGTTGATGTCAGTGGGTGCGGGATCGGACCCCTAGTTCAGATGGTACTCTGGGCTAGTAGCTAAAATGGGGAACAGGGAGTCAGGATTTCTTGGTTCTATTCCTGGCCCTGCCACTAACCCTGTGTGTGATCATGGGCCAGTCACTGAATCTCTGTCTCTCAGTTCTCCCATCTGTAAACTGGGGATGGAGCCCACCTCTGTGAAGCCCTTTGAGGTTCTTGGGTGACTGGAGCTCTATAAAGGCAGAGTTCTTCTGCTTAACTGCTCTCTGCGCAGGCTTCAGGGTGGCACCCAGGTTCCCCCCCAGATCTAGGCTTTGACAGTTGTGTGTTTAAAAAAACAAACAAACACGGCTCTACCTCTCCCAGGAGAATGGCTATGCAAAGCTGTTACATTGGCAAGTGGTGGAGACATTCCGGGACAGTAGAATGATCGCCGTGTGTCAGCACAACTTTACGCCCAGCGAGGAAATGCTGCTCATGAAACACCGCCTCAGGAAGCACAACATCCATGTCAAGTTCTTCCCTAATGAGGTACAGTCGGAGCTGCCTGGCAGCTAAATCCAACGTGGCAGGCCACTCCTATTGGAGCGAGGTTTAGTTCTTAAGGGGGTGTAGCAAAGCCAGTGCGTGATGGTGCCCAGGACTGCCAAAAAAAAAAGGGGGGGGTGAAGGTTATTGTGCGCCCTTTGTTGTGGTATCTGGGTTTGTTACATATATTAAAAAAAAGAGCCTCATCTGGAGTTAAGTGCCATCTACACAAAGCACCAGATGGGCTAAGATTGTGGAGGTTGGCTTCTAGGGCAAACGAATGGTTGGCCAAAAAAGATGACCCTTGCATTGTCCTGAAGATCGGTGTGCTCTGGCGCACCACTAGAGGGAGCATGTTCCACAGCCAGGGACCTTGCACCAGAATGCCTTGCCCACAGCTCAACATCTAGCTTGGCTCTCTTGATGTTTCATCGGGAGTGAGATCTGGGGCAGCTGGGTCCCAAACCATGAGATCTGGGGCAGCTGGGTCCCAAACCATGGAGGGCTTCAGAATGCAGTTGTTTTCAAGTGAAGTGCACTGCACACAAGTATAATATGTTCATTCTGGCCTTCCCCACTAAACGGACTTCTGCATTTCAGCGCTAGGTGAGGCTTCTAAGCAGCCGTCAGCACACGATCTCCTCATTCACTTACTGGAGGATGTAAGCTTTCCCTCCTCTGCCTCTTTCTGGAGCACCGGGCGTTTTAAACACACTGCCATGTAAGGGCCTGCGAGCACTGCAGAGGGAATGTCAGAAAAACATCTGGCTACGGGGGAACTGCTGATGCTGGCCACTTGGGCTAAATGAATCCAATTTCAAGGTGGTTTTGTGCTGAAAATTCTGGTTAGAGGGTGTCTGGAATCTGCTGGTCTCAGATCTCGGGAAGGGCCCAGGTCTGTTTTTATCTGGGCAGATAAAGGGCTTAATTTGAATATGGGGCTCCTGAAATGGCTGTCCCTGTGGTACCTTGAAGACAGCTTCAGCCTTTTTGTGATAAATTAAGTGTGATCTCTCTCTCTCTCTCTCTCCCTTACCTCACTTACTGTTTGCCTCCCTCTTTCAGATTGTGAGACCTTACCTGTCAGTATCCAAATACAAGAACCTCCTTCCTCTCTTTGTGGGCTTCAATCTCATGTTAGTGAGCCCAGAAATCAAGGTGAAGGAAATGTTGCGAATACTGAAGAACGTGCCACAGATAACCCTCCTAGGTAAGGATTCTCCCTCAATCAGGCTAATCTGTTGGATCAACCTGCTTGGAGAGCATCAGATCTTGTTACTTATATTACACGGGTGTCTAAAGGTGCTAACTGATGTCGGGGCCCTTTCGCGCTAGGTGCTGTACATACACTTAGTGAGAGGCAGCCCTGCCTCAAAGAGTTTATGATCAAAAGAGAAAGGGTGGGTGGAGTAAACAGACCGAGGGAAAACAGTTTACTCAGAGTGATGCCATACTACTGCCAGGGCTGGTAATAGAACCTGTGTCCCGCCTGGTAGTTCGGTGCCCTGTGGCCCACACTACCTCTGGAGGCATCTGCGAGGGGAACGTTTCTGTCTCTAGGTAGTTGGACCAGGCATCTTTGCCCTCAGTCCCCAGCATGTGCAAGAGGGATTTGTGTTCACTCAGTCCAGTGGCAGCCCAGCTGGTGCAACTCCCTGGTGGCAGAAGGCTGGAGGAATTGCTCCTTGGCTCTCATGGCCCAGCGACTGTACAAAGAGGTCTCTGGAGAAGAGAACAACTTTGAACCAGGATCACAAACAGCGACACTTAGCTGGGTCTGTGGGGCTGTTTACTGGACGGCTGAAGAGGCTGGAGCTCTTCAGATCATTGATGGAAATTCAGTCCAGGATGGAAGCCATCCAAAGCCCTGACCACCTCATGACTGCTAGGGGGATGAATTGGTCTGAGTGCAGGTGCTCACCTCACATTAGCAAGCCCCTTCTCCCGCACCTTGTTGGCAGAGTTAGAGACCAGGATCACGCTCCCCTTGAAGTGGCCCCTTCAAGTCAGGTCTGAGTCCCTTTGACAGGGACGCTCACGCTGCTGCTACCTGTTCCTTTCTAGGTCCTGTCTACTGAACTGAGTGCAGGGCTAGGAGCCAGGAACTCCTGGGTTCTTTTCCTGACTATGCCACTGATTTGTTGCCTGATCTCAAGCAAAGCATATAACCTCTTTCCTTCCCCCTCTGCAGAGAAGGCAACATGGTCTCCAGGGCTGTAAATCCAGCAGCATTAAACTCCGATAAC